CACTGTCTTTCTGGTCTCTTCCTCACTCCCGGATAAGGGACGTCTGGGCTAGGAGTGTGGTTCAGTGGTAGAGCACTTACCCAGCATGCACAGGGCCCCTCATTAATCCCAAACCCTATAAAATTGTCAGAATCAGTCATGCTGTCTTTGCGTGTGCGGGGGCAGGCAGTTTTAAGGCAAGGTCTTCCTGTGTAGCTCTGGCTGGTCTCAGACACCTAACAACCCCAGCCTGGACGTCATCCGTGAATTAGCCCACATATTTATTTTCTTTCTTGCTTGATTGGTTGGGTTTGTTGTTGTTTTTCGGTGTGTTTGTGCATGTGTGCGTGCATGCGTGTGTGTGTGTGTGTGTGTTGAGGGGGGGCTCCATGTAACTCTGATCGGCCTTGACTTGCTATGCAGCCAAGGATGATCTTGCATTTCTGATGCTTCTGGTGCTAGAATCCACCATGTTGTGCTGCAGATTGAATCCAGAGCACTCTCTTCACTAAGCTACGCCCCCAGCCCACATCTTTCTCTTTGTGTGTCTCTTCCTGTGTGTGCTGGTGCATGTGCACAAGTCCAGCTGAAGACTGTGGTGTCCCTCAGGCACTGCCCACCTTGCCTTTTGATACAGAGTCTCTCGTTGGCCAGGAACGACTAACCAGGCCGGGCTCGCTGGCCAGTGAGCTCCTGGGACCCACATGACTCCACTTCCCCAGTGCTGGGATTACAAGCGTGCGCCACCCTCAGGGTTCTGGCGACTGAGGTCTGTCTGGTCCTCGTGTTGAATAAACAGCACTTTACCAATTGTGCGCTCTCTCCTGGCTCCAGTCCACACATTTCTCACGAACAAAGGTGATGTGTTCCTCAGGGGGTCAAGCACACATCTGGCACTCCTAAATACGGTTTATAATGATCGATCCTTTCAGAGGAATGAGCTGAGCTGAGCACTGACCCAGGGGTCGGAGGCCCTGAGAGGAAGAAGGGCTACTGAAAACGGGTGACAATCACTGAGACTATACGGTAACCAAGAGAAACAAGGCACACAGAGGTGAAGGAACTAACTTACTACAAAGAAGAAAGCAACAGGATGGAGGGGGTCAGGTTCTATTTCAGAATGGCTGGCTGGAGAAGCCAGGGAGGAAACTGCAGTAAAAGATGCAACAAGGCCGGGCGGTGGTGGTGCACGCCTTTAATCCCAGCACTTGGGAGGCAGAGGCAGGTGGATCTCTGTGAGTTCGAGACCAGCCTGGTCTACAAGAGCTAGTTTCAGGACAGGCTCCAAAACCACAGAGAAACCCTGTCTCAAAAAACAAAAAACAAAAACAAAAACAAACAAAAAAAAGATGTAACAAGTAAAAACCTGACTTTTAGTCACAGATTTACTGTGAATGGAGAAAATAAGCCAGGAATTCCCAGATGGCAGGGAAGGAGACAGGGAAGAAGCCATCAACTCCAGACTGGGTCACTAAATAGTTAATAAGCTGAGTGAGTAGATGTGTACGCTAGTAGCCCTCAACTAGGGTCGGAGACAGGTTATCTTGTCTGCTCCACTGGAAATGAACGCCTGGAGACCTAACTTTCCTTCTTCCAAGGATCAATCAGGCTTAGAGGAAGGACACCCTCAGGAGGTAGGAACACCCAATGTCTCTATGAGTAGAGTGAGGGGTGGGAGGATGGGTTGATAAGAACAGCCCAGGTGGAGGCAACAAGGCAACCGGGCACGAGACTTGGCCCTCAAGAGATGGGAATCAGATTCAAAGAGAAATTTGTCCCTGGAAGTCTGCAGGGGCTGTTTCACATGGTGGACGCCTCCTGACAGCCCTTATCAAGGGGCTGCTGCTACTGCCTGTCTGAGGCCCCTCTTGTCTGACTGCCACCCCCAGGCTGCCACAGCGGACAGCTATCTGGGGGAAGCAGAAGCGACTAGAATATATTTAGTACAGTATAAACAAGTTCTTAGAATGCAGCATGAGGGGGCCAAGGGGGATCACTCAGCTCAAGGAGGGAAGTGTCTGGTTCTCCATGAAAGCTTTGGAGACAGCCGTCCCAGACCCTGCCTGGGCACTGCATCTAAGTCTCCTCTTCTGAGGAAAGAAGACAAACAAAATATGGACAAGCAGCTGCTCCTGAAGCCACTGCACCTCCTGCCCACCCATCTTGTCTGCCCGCTGCTCTTGTTGGGACCCAAGCAGGCTGAGCTGATGCCATCTAGACAAAAAGAGCATCTTATCCTAGCCTTTCCATTCTTGCAGGCTAGCCTTGCTCTCCCCCAGCCCCAAGGCCCAGCCCATGAGTTCCTACAAAAGTTTGCCCAACAACCGAGACACTCCACTGTCGAGTTGTTAAAAACAAATACGTTAAATTTCTGTGCGGATTGTCACCTTCAAATAAAAACTTAAGCCCAACAATAACTCTGAAATGTTCCCAGGGTATAATGAGATAATGTAAAAAGAACTCTGACAGGCCATGAAGCTAGCTGGCTGTAGGGCGTGGCTTTTACTTTGGTTATGAGGTAGGATCTTGCCAGTTATTAGCAATGCAGGTTGTGGGTAGGGAACAGGACCCTCTGAGAAGTCCTTGCACTTCAGCATAAGATCCACTGAGGTACTTGGCTGAAAATGCAGCTGATTTTTCCTGCTCCTCTTTGATCCCCAAGATTGAACTGGGGTCTGACTTTTATCAAGGCCCCACTTCCCCCAGCTGGTAGGCAAAACATACTTTGAGAGACCTCAGAAATGAGACAAAGGGCCTCCAAGTATGACCCTTGGAAAAGGGCGGAGCTTGCAGCCCTCAGCTTATGGATACCGTCTTTGATAAGACTTAGTTCTTGGGTCACACATAAAATGCTCTGGAGGAGACAGGCTTGCCGTCAAGCTCCAAGTCCAGACTCTCGCAGGGTGCATCCAACTTCGGTGGGGTCCGAGTTGGATATTTTGGGAAAAACTCTTTAAAAGCAAAGGTCAGGTGGGATGTCACTCTGGGGCAGACCACTTGCCTCCGTGTGCAACACCAACCCCTGCAGTTTAACTTCTGGCCTTTCCCCCAGCGGTGTAGGCAAGCAACACCAGCGGTCAGGTCTGTGGCCCTGGAACAGGTACATACTACACTGCTTCTTTGGGAATGCAGGGTGGCCACATGCAAAAGCATCCCAAATCCATGTGTCCGTCATGAATCAGGGTTCTGTTTGTATTATATTCAGGCCAAACTGAATTCAAAGTGGGCTATTCGCCACTGCTCTGTATAGCAGGGCAGAGAAAGAAAGGGAAGCTAGGAACTCCCTACACCTTTATCATATCCAGCATTGCTTCTGGAGTTCCTCGTGTTTACTGCTGGCCCTACTGTTAGTAATTTGAACACTTATTTATCGGAATTAGAGTCTGTAGTTAAGGGCCAGCAAAATGGCTCAGTGGGTAAATAAATATGTCTGTATCTAAGCCTAATGACCTGAGTTTGATTACTGGGACCTGTACTGTAGAAGGGAGAGAACTGATTTCCACAGGTTGTCCTCCGATTTCCACTGCAAGCTGTGGCATGCACACAGACAGACAGACGATAAATGTAACTTAAAATTTTTAAAGATTAAGTGTGTAGTTAAGTCCACAGCTCTCTGAAATCTACTGTACAGAGGTTCATCAAGTCTGGGTGCCTGGCATGTTTTGTCCCACCCCGGTTAACTTCAGCCCACCTATGACTTAGCAACCAGTTCCCAGATATCCTGAATATTTAGCAATTGGCTCTTGTGAGCCACACTGAGGCAGCACCCGCACAGGTCTGTTTCAACACAGAGAGGTCCGAGGACATTCATTATTCAGCATCTCTGAATGAGGGAGTCAGGGTTGGAATCAGAAGTTCAACCCCAGTGCCTAGAACCTGAACACCATCCCGTGGCCTGTGTCAGCCATCCACACTCAAGGGAATCCGACCACGCGGGGGCAACACTAATGGAACACTTTAATTCATGTTAGGCAGCAGTGCAAACTCTACAAATAATTCCATGAAATCTGACTTTAGTAGGGTCGTCTTAAATATTTAATGAAATGATTTGCATGAGTTGACGAGTGGAGGGCAGGTTCCAATTAAGCACTTAGAGCTCCACTTTGCACAACCCGATGCCTCACAAAGAAGTTACACAGCTGGCAAGCCACCGCTGTGGGATTCAGTCTGTCTGACTGCAGTCGCTTAACCACAGTTGACGCTTAGGGGTAAAGAGGAAACCGGCTGACACGTAATGAATCTCAGGGCGACAGGGAAGCAAGTCGGTGAACTCGGAACCAAAGTCAAGCAAGCAAACAAACGTAAGTTTGAAAGATCCACCAACTAAGTGTGGCCCAGGTTACCCAACACCCTGGCTTCAGGACCCCACCCCTCCGGCGCGGCTATTCTAAGAGTGAAGACAGGAGGAACGCACAGAAGACGTCAACACAGCTCCTGGCCACAACATAAGCTATCAGAGTGTTAGGTGTTACGAACAAAAAGGATGACAAGATTCGAATCACCGTTTCTGCGCTGTGGGTTCTTTGTCTTGCCAACTTGCCCCAAACTGTGGGTCGGGTTAGTCCAAGGCGAAAAGACAAAGTGACTCTTCGGCCGTGTCACACAAGTACCTCCCCCGCCCTGGGGTGCAACCACCTTGGGACTCCACTTTTGGCGCCGCGGGGCCGGGCCGCTCCGGGGGATGCAGAGGTCTGGTGGAGCATCCTTCCCACCTCGACCCGCGGTGGAGGCTGCACACAGGAGGGGAGCCTGGCTCCCACGCTGCCTCGGAGTGTGAGGCTGTTCTGTGTCTCCCGTGCCTCCCAGATCTTCTTCAGAAGAAAAAAAAGAAAGAAAGCTGCTGTAGCTCCAGCTTCAAGCCTAACTTCCTCCCGGGGCGGCTCCCCGGCTCTGCGCTCCCGCCGTGGCTGGGACAGAGCGAGCGGGGAGGAGCGCGGCTGCTGTCCGGGCGGCACGGCAAGCCGCGCCAGGGGACCCCAAGACCCGGCCCTTCCCGCGCCCCAGCGCTCACAGCTGCTTACCAGACGGCGGCCGCTTCCTGCTAAGTCGGCTCACGGCGCGGGTGAACATCGCCGCGGGCTCCCGGAGGACGGAGCAGCCGGGCCGCTCGGCTGCTGAGCCCGAAGAGGGTAAAGAGGAGGAGGAGCCCGCGCGACGCCGCCCCTCCAGGCCCCGCCCGCCGCCTCCTCCCCGCCGCTCTCCCCTCTCCCTGCCCACCCGCGCCCGTGGGCACTGAGTCCAGCCCCCAGCTCCCCGCGCAGGGCAGGGCGCGGTGGCCTCGGGTGACCCTCAGCTCCCGCGCACATCCCGGTCCCTCCCCTCGCGGCCTGGGAGAAGCACAGCATTTCTTGTCCCTGCCAGGCCCGACCGAGTCACCTCCCAGATCGCCACCCCCCATCCCGCCCCCGGGTCTACCCAACTCCGAGTCCGTGGGTGCGCGGCCTGCTCACGCCGCGGATGCCAGGGAGGTGTCACCAGAACCGTGAGCCAAGCTGTGGGCGCCCACTCCGGCCCACGCCACGCCTTGTGCCCCGGCTTCGAGTGTCTGGAACAGACAGACCTCGGAGAACGCTGCCCGAGCCTCTGCGATTCAAGCGCGTATCGGAGCGCGCCGGCACATTTTTAACTTGGACGACACTTGGGAGCAGTCTCAGGAGAACCTTTACGCTCAACTACGGGAATCCTGTTGTTCCCAGCGCCAGGCTTATCGCTCCTCTCCTGGTGCCTGTCACCTGCTCAGCGCCGCGCTCCACGCTCATCTAGTTTCTCGTTTCTTCTACAGAACAGCCCAAGAGGTGGGGTGTCATTAGCCCCATTTTCTTGAGCATTTGGTTCGCAAGGAATTGTTTTTCTGGCGAGTTTTATTTTTTTCCTTGTGGATCTGGCTTTGTCTCGAAATTGGTCTTTATTTTTAGCTGTGCTAATTGCTATTTTTCTAAACCATTCCCCAGTCCGTCCGTCCTCCCCCCCCCCCCACCGCGCGTTCTTTCGCAGGATTTTCACTAGTTGGCACTTTCCTTTATATCTTCTATTCTGAGCTTCCCATTTTGCTCTATTTTCCTCTCTTTTTGTCCACCCTGCAGTCCGAACGCCATCTCAGCTCTGGTCCTCTGTGGTCAGTCTCCCTACCCTTTTCCTCTCCATCATTTCCAGACACAGCCCTTTGTGCCACCCAAAGAGGATGTTCGCTCCCCTGAAGGCTGCCGAGGTCTTCAGCTGTGTCTTGCAGGTGAGCACCATCAGAGAGTCTGGCTTCCAAGCGGGGCTTTCTGGGTGTTTCCGGCTGCTGTTGGCACACTCCCGGGACAGGCTTCCTGGCCATTGAAATCGCTCTTCAGTAATACGCAAGCACTCTGTAAGAGCCGAACCTAAACCGACAGGCGTGGCGGTGCATTCCTTTAATCCCAGCAGTTCCAGGACTCCGAAGGCAAAGCAGGCGGATTTCTTTGAATTAGAGGACAGCTGGTCTACATAGCAAGTTCCCTGACAGCCAGGGCTACTTGGAGTCAACAAAGAGATGATTAGATAGATAGATAGATAGATAGATAGATAGATAGATAGATAGATAGATAGATAGATAGATAGACAGACAGACAGACAGACACAGAGAGAGATGGGTAGACAGTTTAACTATCCCAATAAGACCACTGCCTTCTTAGAAGAGTAGCAGAATTTTCCCGACGGACTTCCATTGAAAGTTTCCCCAAAGGCTATTCACAAATACGCCTAAACTAAACAGGAAACAAGGAAACTAACACAATGGAGTAGAACTTAGACACAGCCAGCCAAATCCAACACTAGAAGCCAGGTCCACCCCACCATGCCCTCAACAGTCCTGGTGTGGCTTAGGACACGCTCTAAGGCCCCCCGCTGAGCTAAGAGCTTCCAGCTTCCCAGACAATGGGGGGGGGGGGGGGTAATGGGAAAGGCGAACTGCTCAGATCCCCTTCCTCTGTCCAGAGAGCTTGTCAAAAGACAAGCAAATGAGTTTGTAAACAGTTTCTTTTTCTTTTGTTGTTGTTTGCTTGTTTTTGTTTTGAGACTAATGAAATTGCTGCCGGGTCTGGAGAGAAGGCTCGGGGTTAAAGATCAGGGTTTAATCCCCAGCACCCACGTGACAGTTCATAGTCATCAGAAACTCTAGATGCAGGAGATCTGATGTCCTCCTCCGCCTTCTTCGAGCACCAGGCACACATATGGTACATATACACACATACAGACAAAACACTCATATATGTAGATCCAAGAGCTAGTGTTCGCATGTCACAGAGACCGAGAGTAAAAGTAGCATGCCTATGGTGGCCCACACCTTCAATGCCAGCACTTGAGGCAGAGGCAGAGGCTGCTGGATCTCTGTGAGTTTGAGGTCAGATGGATCTACACAGAGATTCAAAGACAAACAGAATAAAACAAGAAAAAAAAAAGTAAGCCACCTCAGTCTGTCAGAGCTGATTCCCAGTGAGCACACAGGTGGTTTATGGGCACAGCCGGACTCCTAACTGAAGATGCTCCCCTTCCAAGAGGGATCACTCCTCCAAGTCTTGCCCCCTCTCCTGCTCCTCTCACTCAGGCTTTCTAAAGAAACCACGGCAGTTGATTGACCAAGAGGGCAAATAGGTCAGGCACCATTCCTCCCCCTGATGGCTTTACCTTTAGATAAAGGACCACCTATCACACAGACCAGAAGCAGTGGTTCTGGAGTTCTTCGGGTAGATTGGGATTTCAGAGAGCTGAGCTTTATAGGTCTGCGTGGCTTATCCTACCCAGGAATTTTAAAACTTTGGTAAGAATGGGTGAGATGGTTCAGCAGGCGCTCACACGGTGGAAAGAACCGACTCCTGCAAGTTGTCCTCTGACCTCCACGTTCACACCACGGCAGGTACACTCATTTTGTTGTTGTTGTTTTGTTTTATTGAGACAGGGTCTCCCTATGTAGCCCTGACTGCCCTGCAACTCACTGTTGTAGATCGGGCTGGCCTTGAAACTCAGAGACCACCTGCCTCTGCCCGCCTAGTGCTGCGATTAAAGGCGTGTGCCACTTCACCCAGCCCAATATGTACACTCTTAAACACTTACAGACTAAAATAAGGGAATGTGGGGGCTGGGGAGATGGTTCAGTGATTAAGGGACTTGTTGCTCTTGCAGAGGACCTGCATTCAATTCCCAGGACCCACATGGTGACTCTCAACCAGCTCCAGAGGAGCCAAATGGCATGTGTGGGGGATATACTTGTGTGTGCAAGGAAAACATTCATACACATAAAGGAAAGTAAAAATAGCTAAATAAATAAATAAATATAATAAGACTTTGGTAGACCTGGTTGCTGATGTTGCTCAGTTGCTAGGCAAACCCACCAAGCCGTGGGTTTCGCTCCAGCACTAAAGAGAACAGGGTATGATGGTATACACTTGTAACACTAGCACTCAGGGGGAGGCAGAAGATCTGAAACTTAAGATTATCCTTGGCTACATAGTGAGTTTAAAGCTGGCCTACCCTACATGACTAGGTCTAAAAAAAAAAAACTGGTAAGCTGTGAATGTTAGTCTCCATCTTATGACATACATATATATCATATACATATAATCTCATGTGATACATGTACATAATTATGTGTATATTTCATATAGGCATATATCATATGATGTATGCTACATATGTGTGTATATAGATCAGATCCACTTAATTCCTTTGAAGTAGGGTTAAGTACACAAATAGATTCATGCTAGGTTTCATACCAAATGACCTGGTACCTGCCTTCACCATGCAAACTGACCAGCACTCTTTCCTCAGCATGTCACAGGGATACGGGACAGGATAGCACCTACGTTCTGAAGGTGTGGTTGCAGCAGTAATAAACAAAAAAAGCACCTGGCATGGTGCCTAGCACACGTAGGCGCACAAAGAAATCACTGGAATCCAAGTTACCCGTGCTCCCGCCGCACGCCGCTTCCATAAATAGTAAACTTCAGCCTACACACAGTCGGAAGGGTCTGGGGAGTGTTTGCTCTGCTGATGTGTGGTGCTGGGGATGAAACCTGGAGCCTGGCACGTGCTAGACAAACCCTCTACCACTGAGCTAGACCTTGGCCCGGAATTTTTTTTTTAATTAGAGGAAGTTGGCATGGTACTAACAGTGAGGTGCGCACAAGGTATAATTACTAAAAGTAATTCTTACAAGACATAAAGCTGTGTGGGGGCAAGTCCTTCCAGCTACTCAGTTAGCTGGTCAGGGAGGCAGGGATGGCTAAATGCTATCTGGCATTGTGTGGAGAGTCTGAAGTGTTTACATCCATTGAGCCAGTGGGTGATTTGACAACCAGTCACTTCCGCCAAAAAGTAGAATAATCAGTGCAATTGTTTACACGTATCATGGCATGGCTCTTTTCGGTGTTATTTACGGTAGCTAAAACTGCCCACTCAGGAAACGACCAAGCTATCACACGCTCCTATGATAGACTGTTTAGCCCATGTGCTAGCAGGCAATGGGACGCAGTTGGTAGAGCACTTGCCTGGCATGCAGGAAGCCTGGATTCCACGCCAGCAACACAAAAGCTGGGTGTGGTAGCTGCTGACTTTAATTCTAGCATTCAGGAGGTGGAGGCGGCACATCAGAAATTCAAGGTCATTGTTGATCACACACGGTGAGTCTGAGGACAGCCTAGATTAGTGGGAGCTGGCTGGAAAAACCACCACCAACCACAAAAAAGACCAAATGAAGTGCATGCGGCGGTGTATGAGCAGACTTTTAACAAAACTCACAGGAAAATAGAATCCCCCCAGATCCACAGAGTGGAAGGCGAGAACTCAGCCCTGCAAGGTGTCCTTTGATCTCCATATACATACACCATGTATACGACCATGCACATACACGATAGATAGATAGATAGATAGATAGATAGATAGATAGATAGATAGACAGACAGATAGATGATTGATAGATAGATAGATAGATAGATGATAGATGATTGATAGATAGATAGATGATAGATAATAGATAGATAAAACAAATTAATTAATTAATTAATTAAAGTTTGATGACCCTGGCTGGGGAGAGCTCAGTTGGTAGAGTAAGCCCTCAGCTTTTTGAATGGATGAGGTCCATGTTTATGAGCACAAAGCTAACAGTTAACCACACTAAATATT